CCACCGCCACCACCACCACCACCCTTTCCGGGTGTGTCCTGCCGCCCTCCCCCTCTTCTTCCTCTCCACCTTCCCCTGCTCTGTGTGACAGGGGCGCCCCCCGGAACCCCTGCACCATAGGCTACTGAGGGCCTTACCCTGCCCGCCCTCTAACTTCCGCCTCCCTTCTCCTGGTCTCCATCCCAGCGGCGCTGCCCCGGCTGAGTCCCAGCCCCCACTCCTGATGCCTCCCTTGTCCCCCCCATCCAGGACCACAGCGGCCACGTTCCAAAGGATACAGCGCGTGTTGATGCATCGCCGGGCAAGCAGACATAAGCATAATCTGCCCTGTGCCGTTAGGTACAAGAACAATCGGCGAAACTGCTGTCGCGTTTGTGCCATCATAGTCGCCAGAGAAACCTGCCGAGCACACGCCACCCTGGTTTCGGGTACCACTCTGGCCATAAAGGCTTCTACTGCCACCCTGCTGTTCTTCCCGGCCACCTGCAACACCGGAGGCACCGGCACGGGCCTGCATGGTTGTCCTGGATCTTTCCCTCAGATTCGTGCTGACAAGGACTCCTCAGCACGGGCTCTGCCTAGCACAGGAGGTGATTGCGAAGCTTAGCTCCCCCACAGTGCTCCTCCAGGCCCCAAGCAGCAGCGCAAACTGGACCTCCCGCTGGCTGTTTGTGGCCAAGCTGTTTTTCCTGCCCAAAATTCTGGTTGCCAGGCAAAGTGCGAGGGGCGGCCCCCGGAACCTCACCCAGAGCGCCCTCACCAGCCCAGCGCACGTGCACCAGTGGGCGCCTGGGTATGTGGTCGCCTCCTAGCTGGCTCAACCCCGTAGCCTAGAGACCCCTTTGGCCGCGGAGGGACTAAGGTGAGAAGAAAAACGTTCAGCAACGCAGACTGCGGCCAGGCCCTCCACAGATCCAGGGAGAGGGGAACAGGCCATGCCCCAGGCCTGGATGCCTCCGGAAGCTGCTGGGTCCGTGATACCCAAAGGTAACGCCCAATGGAGGGCTTCATGTGGGCGCATCCCCACACCGATTTCTGGGGGCAATAGGAGCCAGGCCCAGCCGGGCATGTCCTGCACCCCGCCCTGCACCCCAATTGCCTCACCGAGCTGTCCCAGCCTGCGGTACCAGCTAGGGATGTGGTCCCCTGTCTGTGCCCACCCTGTGGCTTTGCCCAGGACCCTGGCTCCTTCAGTGCCATGCTTCTGGGTCACCCATGCTGCATTCCTTTCGGGATGTGTGGTGTAGGGGCAGGTCGCTGTGCACAGAGGCTGAGGGCAATCGTGGGCACGTGGCCAGGGCCAGCTGGCAGCCCTGCCCTCTGTTGATGG